CTCTCATTTCTGTAAAAGTCTCACGTTAACACTCATGTCATTTTGGGAAAATTCGACTACCAGTCCTTCATTACCTTAAACGAAATTGGGTGAATACATCTCATACTACTGATTTACTGGTAGTAGTACGAAAAATATGTACTTAGAGTCTCGAGACTACCAGTAACTAGATAGATTCGGATAGTGTTCTCGTCTTAACTTGTGACTTTTACAAGAATGGTTGCCAGCTCTGAGCATGTCAGCACGGTTTTACCCGAAATTAGCGACAAAGTCTCGTGGACTGCGTCAACCTGAGCGTCGTATAAAAGCCAAACGGATGTAGTAGAATGCAATTAATCCGTGATGTTCTGGTGAGATCGACGTACGAATCACTTCTTCATGCATTTTCATGCGAAATGAAAGTCCCCCCAACAATGTCATCAGAAAAGTGGTTCATCGAAACCCAGTTTCTCTTCTTATCTGAAATTCATCTAGTCGTGGAGCAACTCAACTATCACTCTTTAACTCACTTTAATTATTTTTCGCATTAAGTATTGCTTTCAGACTATCAGTAAATCAGTAATATGAGATGTATTCACCTAATTTTGTTTAAGGTGATGAAGGACTGACATAAGAAGAAATTCAATGGAAACGTCAGTTCAACTCTTATCATTGTATGAAAATTTATTCTTCTATCAGTCATTCATCACCTTAAACGAAATTGGGTGAATACATCTAACTTTAATTAAATTAGAATAAATCATAGTATATAAATCTAACTATATCGAAACTAAGCAGTAGTCTCAGTACCAAAAATGACACCACCTTGTAGTAAGCGACCAGGTAGATGACGACAGATACTAAATGTCGATATTAACAATCATGTTTATATAAAGCGAAAGTATTCACCATTTTTATTTTTCCTACAATTTCTAAAGGAGTAGTACCACTCTTCTTTCAGACAATACGTGTCTGGCTGTAAATTGCCTGTCCACCGCCAGCAGACTGTTGGAGAACTTAAATCTGTCCGGCGATCCATGCGATAATTTCTACAATTTCGCCTGCGGTTCATACGCCTCCAAGAACGAGATTCCTCCAGACGCCGACATGTGGTCCAGGCTGAGAAGGGTCAGGCAGCGGTTGATGCTCATGCGGCGCAAAGAATTGGGTATAAATATTTTTTTATTCCTTCCTGTTACGGGGCCTAAATGCCTAAATTAGTTCTATTCTATGAGTCATTTGGCATTTGATGGAGCATTTACAAACTATCGTCAAGCTTGCTTCGTCTGTGTGGGTCGCTCTTAATTCTGACTGCGGGGTTCGAACTCGTTTTCGCAGCAAAGCGACCTCGACCAAGGTCCATTGTTCGAAGTCCTCTGTCCAAATGGGCATGATAATTTTTAGAAGTTGTTTGACCTTGTTTTTGCTACTCGATCATGTTTTTATGAAGACTTGGAGGAGCGCACCTAGTCCCGAGTCCATTTAAGGCATCATCATTTCCAGAGTAGGATTGTGGACGTAGTACATTCCCAGACGGGAGTCTCGCCATTCTTAGCACCATTCAACAACTCGTCAAAGAAACAAGTGAAGCCGATACTTTGACCAAACGTGTGCTAAACAGTCGTGGTATCTCCCATTCTGCCCTGGGCTATTTAACTTCTATACTATACAATATAACAATATAATCTATAACAATTTGTATACAACGAAAGAAGACTGCGACCACACAAAAGACCACACAATCTTGGTCTTCATACCGATGATATTTTTTAGTCTTTAACTACTCGCTTGGTGCATTTCCAGACATTTTTCCAATAGGCTATCGGCGAAACGCCTGGAAATGTAGCAAAGATCAGGAAATTAGCATGAATTCTCTGGTAGGTGACTTGATACAAAGTGTGTTCATCCAAGTCACACTGACATCAGGACACATTTATGTAATGGGATCAGACTATTTCTATACGGCCGGGAGGAGACTGCGACTAAACTAGAGACCACGTCATCTTGGTCTCAATATCTGCGAAAATTGTGTTGATTTGGCCAACCTTGTGAAATGTATCCATCGGACGGCAAACTTGGTAAGCAAGTGTTGCCGGCATTTTCTGTGAAATTTTTGGAAATGTCATAATACATAAGATTTTTCTTGTCTCACTTCCGGGAAATGACGGCGAGAGCAAATCACGACTATAGGAGACTGTGACCGAGTCTATGGGGACACTTACTTTGTCTACTTATAAAACTTGTAAAATGTTCAACCGATCAAACCCTTCTAGTACCAAGGTTTTGCTTTGCAATCCCACTCCACCAACTCTCCCGAAGAGTCATGTCCTCCCTGCCGCTTAAGGCCGTTTTTTTGACCGCTATTTCTTATTCAAGATCAATTGTCAGTTTAGCAACCTACTATCAATTAGTATAAGCAACCTAGTCAGATGTAATGGGAAAATTAAAGTTCTATAAAAAAGTATTCATTCTATTTCGTTGAAGGTGATGAAGGACTGGTAGTGGAATTTTCCCACAATTATATGAGTAGAGCTAACGCTTCCATTACATTTCACAGAGCCTTGCTCTCCCAAAGCAAGTGGACTGCAGTTTCGACCTCGCATATGATTTCTCAAAACCCCCAGCGGGAGTCGAATCGTGACAAGTTAACCACTCGACCACATTGCCACGAGTGCCATTGGGCCACAGGGAAGGTGTTAATTTGAAGGAAGGCCAGGCCTTTTCGCATCTCACACTCTTTGGTGGGATTGCCGATAAAGCAAACGAATTTTTCTATAATGATCGACAACATTAGTTGGTTTTCATTAAAGTTGATCAAGGACTGGTAGTAGGACTGGTAGAAATGGGGTGAATATATCTTATATAATGGGTTTACTGGTACTCTTGAAATATAACTATAAAAATTAGAATATATGAAGACCAAGATGTTGTGGCCTCTGTTATGGTCGCAGTCTCCTTTCGATATATAGAAGTGGGCTTGTTGTCAGGGCGACTATGTAGAACTCACTTAGTCCGAAATCGTCTGCCATAGTAGTTGTCATGATTCCCAGCATCTGACAGTGGACTTGGTACATTCTCAA